TAGGCAGCCAGAAAAGTAGGTTTATGCTAGGCAGCCAGAGAAGTAGAGGGCCAGAGTAAAAAACACAGCACCAGAAAGAGCTGTCTGGGAAGTTGGTGCCTGAAACACTTACAAAGGCAGATCTTAAGGGACATAGAACAGCTTACTACAATACCTGTGACACCTGGAGCTGGGGCTAGATAAGCTAGGGAGACAGTGAAGGGTGCAGGGCAACTGTATTGGCAACTCCATCTCTATAAATAATCAAAATCACTGAGTTTTGCACTTTAAACATTTCAATTACATGAATTTTATCTCAAGAAAACCATTCTTAAAAGCATGCAAAGAGAAGTCTCACATTCTCTAGGATCTAGCCCAGCAAGTGTCATTCCCTTCCCTCTTTACAATCCCTCTATCTATGCTTTTACTACAATCCACAATACTTAGCCCAGGTACACAACCAGTGGCCCAGTTTAGTCTAGGTACCCACTGACTGTGCAGGACCCAAGCTCCATGTCCCTGCCTAATCTAACCACCTTTATCCATGACAAAGTCAACCTCGAGGTTTTCCCCAGGACTTGCCCTACCTGTAACTACCCACGGGTTCCTCTTGTACCACTTGCAATCACCCCATTTGATATATAGACATCCCCAGGTCCTCCTCCAGGATCTTGACTGGTACATCTCCTTGATATCCCCAAACCTTTTCTGCAACCTGCCAGATCTAGCCTGGGTCCAACATATAGTGCACCAGCCTAGTCTGGCCTCCACTGCCTGTACCAAAAACGGACTTTGAGGCTTTGGCCAGGACCCTCTCCACCTATCCCCCCAAACCACAGGATGCTCCCACACTATTGCCTATCTTTCCACCCAGTCAGATCTAGCCCCACACTCCAGGGTGGGACCAGGAAGCACATTGTACATACCAGCCCCATCCCTTCCGTCCGCTTAACTTCATTCCATCTAAGTCATATCCAATCTCTAGGACCAAACCACCTGTATATCCTCTCATCGGCCCCAATCCTGCTTTTCCCATAACAGACTCAGAACTAACAAAAGAAGTCCATATGCACAGATCTCACCACAAAAATGCCAACAATATTAAAAATCAGGTCAATATTCTCTCTCTAAAACCTACAAGTCCCATAGAAATGTTTACCAATGAGAATTACCTAGACGAACTCCAAGATAAAACTCCAACATCAACAATCATAGCAACTTCAAAGAACTCAGGGGGTCTGAAGAAGACATAAAGAAACAACTCAATGAAATTAAGGAGAAAAGAGCTGAAGGTTATTCTCCCTATCCATGACTAAGAAAACACAAACGCATCTCAGCTTAAAAAAAAAAAAAAAGCACCACCTTAAAGTAAAAGTATGATTAAGAGTACGCCAATCAAATGGAGAAAAAGCAAGCATCATTACACTGATATATGAGAGCACAGACTTCTAACTAAAACTAATCAGAAGAGACAGAGGGACACTTCATTCTAACCAAAGGAACAGCTAACCAAGACGACATTACTATCTTATACATGTATCAAACTCTGAGGCACCCAATTTCATTTAAAATCTATTTCTGGACTTAGAGACACAGCTTAACATTCATTAATAATGAGTACTCTATTTCAATACCCCAATTTCTTTAACAGATGGATCATTTGGATAAAAAATAAAGACAAAACATCAGAATTAATTGATATATCACACAGAATTAACAAAAATCCACGGAATATTCCACCCAAATATTAAACACACATCAGCACATTGAAGCTTTTCTAAACAGACCACATCCTGGTACACAAAACAAATCTTTATGAACCAAAAAGACAGAACCCACTCTTTATACGCTATCTCACCACAATACAATAAAAATTAAAATCAACAGCAAACAAATCTGTAGCAAATACACAAATTCATAGAGATTAAACAACTCATTACTGAATGATGAATAGGTCAAAGGAAAAAAATCAAGAAATAAGAAAACTTCATGGAACTAAATAAAAATGAAAACACAATACAACAAAACCTCTGGGACATAGCGAAAGCAGAGGGAAATTTATAAATCTAAGTGCCTATATTAAAAAAATCAGAGTTGAGGGAGAACATGAACAAGAAAGGCAGGACCGTGAGGAGTGTGTTCACCCACTGATACAAGGGGACTGATCTAATGAAAGTTCACCAAGGCCAATTGGACTGGGACTGAACGAGCACGTGAGCCAACCAGATTCTCTGAATGTGGCCGGATTCTATGAATGTGGCTGGCTCGGGGTCTTTCTGAAAAGCTACTGACAATGAGACTGGGACTTGTTTCCTCTGCATATACTGGATTTTTGGGATCCAGTCTGTTTGGATGCTCACCTTCCTGGACCTGGAGGGAGGGGGGAGCAACTTGAACTTCCCACAGGGCAGGAAACCCTGATTGCTCTTAGGGATGGAGAAGGAGGAGGAGAGGGAGTGGGGGGAGTGGGAGGGTGTTGGGAGGAGGGGCGGAAATGGAAACTTTTATAAATTAATAAACTTTTATATAAAAAAAATCAGAGTTGAACTAAAAAGTTGGATAAACAAAA